TCCTCATCTGAGAAATTCAGATCAAAATTAAAGGTTTATATCACAGAGAAACTTGCTTGCCTCCTATCAGCATGGGTGATGCTCAACTCCATGAGAGCACCTTCTTCGTCTCACATTTTACACTGACCTGAGGTGGAACAATTACATTGAATCAATAGCTGCATCTACTGCAGGGAAAGTTGGTTCTCTGTGTCATGCCAGAAGGTTTTTCTAGTCTGAAACCAGCCTTCACATCTACAAATCTATTACATAGAATACTGTTGCCATATATAGTCTAGTGTCCCCACTGTTCATCTCAAAGTTCTTGACAAAATCCAGACTGATATACAATGTTATCAGTTCTGACTTGAAGTGTTAACTCCAGTCACTTTCTCATTGACATATTGTGGCTTACCTCTGTCTTTTCCATAAATATGTTCATAGCATCTGCTCTGACAAGCTATTTTCACTGGTGCCCTGACTGCATGAATTTAAGTATGCTACTAGATTGGCATCTCAGTCCCACCCTTTTACTGTCAAAACAGTTAAATGTAAATGCCTCTTCTATTTCCAACAGCTTCTTCTCTTGTACTTCCTGACAGTGGAACTCCCTTCCTCTTACTTGCTTCCTGATAACTATAATCTTCAAAAATTTAAATGTAATGTCAATCGACATCTTCTGATGCCTTGATCCCTATTCTTCTTTCTAGCCTTCTCAGTTCGAATTTTTATCCTTTCCTCAACCCCCCCCTACCCAGTCTTTTCCCTTACTTACACTCTCTGTAGCTCGTTGCATACTATTGACACTATTGCCTTGCTTGGGGTGAAATGCTTAAAAAAAACAAAAAAAAAACAAAAAACAAATATACACCAGCAAAGTTTGAGCATGTCCTTGCTCACTGACATTATTATCACTCTCCTCACCAATATTTTAATTATTTTCTGTACCAGAATAAAGTAAATAATTTGGGTGTTAACAAAAAAGCAATGCAATGTTTCATTTAAATTTTTTTTAACATGTTTCAACACTAAATCTGAATGATTGTGTGCTGAATGATTAGCCAAAATTATATTGTCATTGGTTAGGAATTAATACAAGCATTACTGATTGAATAAGGCTATTATATGTATAATACAGAATGACTCCAGTGTTGTCATAAGTGACTTTATGGTGGCAGAGAGATTAAAACATTGCACTGTTTGTCTCAAAAGCTGAGGTTTAACTATTCCTGTTTTTTTTTTTATCAATCAAATCTTTTGACGACTGTTTACACTAGCTTTTCCTCAGGTATTTTTGAGTGTCAAAACTTAAAAAGATTTTTGGGGCGGGAGAAGAGAAAATGTCAAATTACTTATCCCGAGTATTATGAAAGGCGCAAATGAAAAACCACAAGACTCGTACTATAGTGTTGAACTTGAAAGAAATTTACATGTATTACATAACAAAAAATAATAAGCGATACAAATTTTACAAAACAAGCTTGCAGAAAATTTTCCATTGTGTGCCAAACACTTAGGCAAGATAATAAGTTTGAATTATAATTCTTTTGGACTTGTAAAAACAATTATAATTATTATCAACAAGATTTTCCCATACTTTGATTCATCCAACTGTCAGTAGTAGTTGAGAAGCTTGACAATTCAGAAGTGTAGCTAGTTTTTTTTTTTAAATGATAGTTCAGTTTTATAAAGTGAGGTTCAAAAATGAGGAAATTCTCATGTTTTCATAAAAACTTCAAAATCAGAGTTAATAACTTGAATTTTATGTGAAACCTTGCCAAACAACTATAGGAAGATAATTGTATATCTCCCTAAATTCATAAAAACTTCTACTTTCAGCTTTCTTTTCCTCTGCTTTATGTTTACTTTTTATTTTGGCTTCTTTCTTTTCATTAACATCAGCTTTTAGTTTTATTTTGTTCAGTTCTCACAACCAGCTGAAATCTTCCTTGTGAATACCAAAACCCTTCTGATTGTTTTACTTCTTCATCTAAATTTAGTGCCCAGAACCAGCCAATATCTTCCTTGTACATACTGCTTTTTACCTTACAAAGCCAGACTTCTTAAATAGCTACAAATTGTCTCTGACTTGAATTGGAAAATTGATACCATGAAGTTGCAACTTACTTTCCAGATGAGGTAAAAAAAAAATCACAAAATGTATCTCTTTAAACCATGTTTGCAAACTTTATTATGGTGGGTTTTCAAACTATCTGATTTGAGTCTCATTTTTTACAAGTTTTGAAAAACAGATTTTACACTTGTATTCTTTAGGAATAATCTATTCCACAAGCTACCAAATCTTGGAATATATAGGAAATGAGAGTGGTCCATACATGTAGACATAGCAAGATAATTCCTGATTGTAATGGTTTGATCTGGTAACACAAAAGAATGGAATTTTTCAGAACATTTACTATAGAAATAGTGATAGGTTTATGATGTTGCATTTGTGGGAAAGGCACTGTGGGATAGAAAATAAAACATCCCCCTTGCACACAAGAGTGTGTAAATGATTTAAAACTCTGTTAAGGCTGGAGAGTGATGATTGGGTAACTCCAGCCCAGATCTGTCAGAAATACTCCATTTTTCATCTTTTCTGACTCTTGTAAAGATAATGCCTGGCAGGAGTCAAACACTTTGTTGTAAATTTTTAAGAATGAAATAAATTTAAAAATTCACTTTCATTCATTTTATTCTAATTTTAATCAGTATTTTTTAAAACAAGAAATATTGCCAAGGAGTGAAGGTAGTTAAAATAATAGTGATGTCATGGGGAACACCATCCCTTTGACACTCAATTTTTTTTTTTTTTTGCACACATGAAGGTCTATGTTTGCCATTATGACATTCAAAAACACAAAAGACAGATGTCCAGCAAGTAGAGTTGTCAAAGTATTTTTTTAAATTTTTTTTAGAAACAAAGAATAGAGGATTGAACTGTTTCATGATATCTGTCCTTCTGTATGGCAGCGAATGTTGGACAATCTCCTCAGAGATAAAGAAGAGACTTGAAGTAATAGAAATATGGTTGTACAGAAAGATGCTGAGGATAACATGGGTTGAACATGTGAGCAATGATGAGGTCTTGGAAAAAATGGAAACAAAAAGGAAACTTATACTTAACATCAGGAAGAAGCACTTGAAATTTCTAGGACACATAATGAGGAAGGAGGGCTTAGAAAACCTGATACTCACAGGATAGATAGATTGGTTTCCTTTGTTTTGTTTTATGGCATATCTCAACCTCAATGTGTTATTTAATGCTAACAACATTTTTAGGATAGAGTCTTATGAATAGAATATGTATTCTTTAGTTTAGATTAGTTTGGTTTATTTTGTTATACAACATATCAACCTCAATGGGTTAATTAATGCTGACAAAATTTTATATTGCTGGTAATATTTTGTTTCATCAAAAATCTGTTTCTGGTAATATTTTTCCTTCAAAATTGTATTGCTGGTAATAATTTTTTCAAAAACTATCCCTGGTAATAGTTAACTATTTGCCCATAGCTGGGACCCTAACAGGGTGGACTTGGGAACACCAGCAATTAAGAGGTGGTTCCATGTTCCTCAAAACCTCCTGATCAGAGACCCAGGACAGATTGAGAGAAAAAGGGACAGAGAAAAGCAGCTGATGGGCTTGAGTAGAACAGATTTTGGGAGAAATAACAAAAAGACAAAACTAATTAAGAGCTACAAGGGACAGGAAAATGTGGAGGGCTATGATCGCCTACGTCCTGAAGGGACACAGCACATAAAAGAAGAAAGAACAGCTGAACCTCAGTCCATATGATATACAGTGACATATTTTTCTCTTTTTTTTCTACTAATATTCATCCAATACAAGGCTCAAGACCCACTCAAGGCAGAGTTTATTGAATAAGGTGTTTGGCATGAAAATAAGATGTGGAAGTTGGGAGTGAAAATTATAAGGATATGGATTGACCCTAGACATGAAAAAAAAAAAAAAAGGAAAGAAATATAATGCTTGTAATTTTTCTAAAATGAAATCTCTAAAACCAAAAGAAACATGCTGTCCAATATTTATATAAACTTCAGAATCTGTGCCAGAGAAAAGCAATGATAAATTGCAATATGAGCTCTGGTAAAAACATGCAAGGATAACAGAAAAATTGCAATATGAGCACTGGTAAAAATGGTTGCTGAAGACATTAGGTTTATAATACCCAGAAATTCATACCCAGATGTCCTCAGTGGCACAGTGGATAAAGGCGTTGGTTAGATTCAGTGACAAGACCCAAAGAGTGTGAGTTCAATACCCGGTTAAGGCAGTGGAGAACTTTCAGAGGGAAAATAGCTGACATCCATCAAACAGTGAGCGAAATAAAGGGTTCAGTTCGACATTCCAACCACCTGAAGAAGGCCGGAGCGTACAACAGCTGAAACGTTGTGATAAATATGGCGACAAAGATGAGGACAATAGTCCGAATAATGTAAATAATTTAGATAAACTTTGGAATTTGTAACAAATGTATGAGTGAACGTTTGACAAGGCAGACACAAAAATGGCAGTGTGCATTCATTTGCATAAGCGTATGCCTCGCTGAGAGTTTGCAAGGGCAAAGGCGAGTTGTCCAGTTGTGCAAAAGTCACACATGTTCATTTCGGTGTCAACTGCAGTGTAAGACTGAGAAGAAGTCTACGACTTCGGAGAAGAAAGCGGAGAAGACAAAGTCTTCAGTAATTTCGTTACAGAAAGATTTCAGAATTATAAAGACAATTAATGCACATTTTAGTTTTTTAAGAATTGTTTTTTTTTTTTTTTAAATAAAATGATAAAATACATATCCTCTACTTTTTTAGGACAACAGCAACAAATAATATGAATGTCTGCTGAAAAGTTCATGGCCTAACCAAGAAGGGATTAAAAAAATAAAAATTGATGATTGTTCATTTGGTCAGATTTTAAAAAAGGCACTAATCTGAAAGTCAACTTCATCTTCTCCGTACAGATACATCCTTTTTTTTGATAAAATGGTATTGAAAGATTAGAGTCAACCAATAATATCAATAGCAGACTTTGGATTTGAATTGTACAAAACAGTATCAATACCATGAATGACACCATTCATCGTGGAAATGTCAGGAAAACTGAGCTGACCAGTGACGTTGTTCACCGTTACATTGAATTCTGAAAAACAATGGCAAGAAAATAAATTTGAAAAGTATTTGTTTCAATATGGCAAAAGACAAGTGAGGTTTCTTAAAATTCAGCTATTTCTATTATTGATTTTGAAAACATAAGAGCTCAATAAATTGGTTAAATAAAGAACAAACAAGAAATTTGACATGTTTCACTATTTCTTTAGCTTCATCAGAAGTTTAGGGAGTGGAAAAATTTAGAGTTATAACTCAGTTCTTAAATTCTATGTTGTTTCATTTTCATTGGTTGTGTAGATATCACATGTCTATTGTCAATAGCCCTTATGTCAGTATCAATTTTTAAATTTCCTTTGTTTCATTTCTATTGATTGTAAAGTACATCACGTGTATATTGCATGGTGTCTGTGTGCATGTTTAATTATTGAGATGGCAGCTTAGTTTAAGCCTCTATTGAAATTATGATGGATGTTGATGGTGGAATGTGTAATACAAGAATGTAAATAACAATAAAGTTTATAAAAGAAACATATTTTTAAATATTAAAACAAATATAAAATGATAAAATTGTTGTAAACATTTTGCTAAATAATATATTCTCATATATATAAGTATATAAATTCAAATTTTATAAAAGAAACATTTTAATTCATGATTTTAAAAATGCACTAAGTTTATATATATATATATATATATATATATATATATATATATGTGTGTGTGTGTGTGTGTGTGTGTGTGAAAAGTGTGTGTATATAAATATATATATATATATAATTATTTATATATTATATATGCGTACTTATTAGAAACGCACAATATCAGAGATAGAGCTAATAAACTCACATCTATCCAACCAAATATATATATATATATATATATATATATATATATATATATATATATAGAGAGAGAGAGAGAGAGAGAGAGAGAGAGAGGTAGGGTGGAATAGTGGATAGTGGCTTGGACCGAGGAATCACAAGAGCTGAGTTCGAATTCCAGTCAAATCCATTACATTCACTTAGATGCTAATACCCTTGGGAAAGGTATTAATTCTCTTCTCCCTCCAGCTATGGGTAAATAGCAGGACAGACTGGGTTCTATAGCCTTGGATGGCAACTGGTCTAGGAGAAGGAAAATTCAAAACCTGCTGAGGGTTGTTTGGGGACCTTGTGGCATGTTCTGCAACAGGTCTCTGTATTCAACCCTTCTAAAAGTGTGGTTGTTTCTGCACAAAGCCTTCACCACTATAATCAAATCATATGTGGTGGTGTCTGGCTGTCAGTTCCTACGAACTGAGCTACTTGACCCTTATACGTCAAATACGATGGGAGAGTCCACCATATATATAAGTTGAAGATCAAATGTAGATCAGATATGGACAGAAATCCAACAAGATGATAAAATAAAGAACAAGTAGGTAATGTATCTCAATCTAACATATTTCACCTTTGTTGATGTTTCATCAGTGATCCAAGATAGAAATAAAAAAGGCAAAGAGACAAAATGATGTTATGATTTTTGGTTCATTCTCATTGGTCAGACATGTGTCTTGTCTATTAACACAATAGATAATATATAAATATGTGTGAGGAGCATTTTGAACATTAAAGTATGTGATAGTATAAGAGTGTGGATGTAAAGAAATGCTTGTTTGTCTAGATGTATGTTAGTAATGTTAACTCATGTAAGTGTGTAAATGTGTATGTGAGGAATGTCTATAGCTGTCACCCTCATGTATTTTGATAAAATGTAGTGGAATTTTAGAATAATTTTGTATTTGGTTGAATTTTTCTATTCTCTTGTATGTGTACATGAGTGTGTGTGTGGAATGTCTGTGGTTGCCACCTCTGTGTGGGTCAGTGAAATGCAACAAGATATTGTAATAATCTTCTTTTGTTTGGATTTACCATTAAATCATTTCTCATGCACCAAGACAAACAAGCGTTTCTTTGCATACACACTCTTACACTTTAACATCCAAAAGGTTTCTCACACATTTATATATTATCTATTGCATTAATACACATGACTCGTGTCTGACCAATAATAACTAACTAAAAATCGTAACATACCAATACTCTGTCTATTTGCTTTTACATTTCTGTCTCGATCTCTGACAAAGCCCTAATAAAAGTGAAACATGTTAGATTGAGACACATTTCCTACTTGTTCTTTATTTTATCATAAACACACACACACACATATATATATATATATGGTGCAATGGATAAATTGTCTTCTAAATTACATAAAAATGAAAACAACCTTGACATCTCATTTTAACAGATATAGTTACCAAAATTACACAAAAATATTTTGAAATACTAAAGAGTAAATTTATTCAATAAAATTGCCATTGGCTTCAACCACAGCCTCCAGATGATTTGCAACACTTCTAGACAGTTTCCTTGTTTAAGTTGGTGAATGCTGCCATAATCTTTGCCTTCAGTTCATCTTTGGTGTTACAATAAGTTTTGATGGTCACTTTCTCAGCTGCAGCCCACACATAATAATCAAGGGGGTTGCATTTTGGGGAGTTAGATGGCCAGATGTAAGGGATAATGTGGTCGCAGAAATTGTCCGACAACTATGACTGGGCTCTCCTGCTTGTGTGGTATGTTTCAGAATCCTGTTGCCAGACATAAAGTCCTCCAGCAGCCACCCTCTTGAGTGAGGGCAGCACTACCCTCTCAAGGCACTTGATGTAGGCCTCCATGTTGAGCCTGAGGCCCTCACCAATAAATTCAGGAGTTTTTCTTATCAGAACGATTAGAGTGAGTTTTCCAAGCTGTCATATCTTCGTAATTATCATTAGACTTATTCAACTCTGAAATGCTCATATTGGAGCTTCCAGTAGGAATGCCCAGCAGTACAGTATGCCATTTCCTAACTTCTGGCACAGTGAATTGTTGGTCATTTTGCTAAAATTATATATCATTCGTAATTTTTTATATAAAAATATATTGCTGGTATTTTTACGATAAAAATGTATTTTTATACTTTCATAATTTTCGGGGTTCACTATTTACCCATAGCTGGGACCCTAGCAGGTGCTACCACTCCAGCTCAGGTTGGAGCTGGGAAGAACAGTAATCAAAACCTCCAATCTCTTTGCTGCCAGATGTAGTTTACTGTCATACCCAGGAGGATCATGAGCACCCTGAACAGACACAACACATAGACAAAGAAATATACATATACTGAGAAATATATTTACTTTGTTCTTACTTCTGGTTGACATTGTCTTCAAAATATATGGCTTACAAGTATATGAACTTGTAGATAATACAGTACATCCTTGATTATCCAGACACCTGGAACAGGTGTTGAAAAAATATGTTTGGATAATTTAAAATTATGGAAAATTGAAAAGGTAATAAGAAAATTTACAGCTCCAGAGAGAATTGAGAATCTGACAGAATGAGGAACAAATAGGAACATCTTTATAAATTTTAAATGTTTAACAATTTAGTTTCATCAGAAATTTTGAAAGTGGAATGATTTGGAGAAATATTTTAGATTTTAGAATTAAATTTTTGATGAAGCTAGGTAATGAAATATGAAAAAAAAATTATAATGTGTTCATTTTCTTTTTATGTGCCATGCCCTTTCAGGGCATAGGTGATCATGGCTCTCCACCTCCCTCTATCCCTTGCAGCTCTCAGCAACTTCCTTCCCTCTGCTTCCTTCCCAGACCATGTTCTGTCAGTCACCTGCTTAAGCTCATCAGGTATGTCACGCACTGCTTTCCCTTGTCTCTCTTTCACTCTATTCGATCAGTGAGTATCAGATTCTCCATGCCCTCCTTCCTCATTATGTGTTCCAGAAACTTCAGCTGCCTCTTTCTGGTGTTAAGCATAAGCTTTCTCCTTGTTTGCAACCTCTCTAAGACCTCATCGTTGCTCACATGCTCAGTCCATGATATCCTTAGCATCCTTCTGTAGAACCACATCTCTGTCACCTTGAGTCTCTTCTTCATCCTTGAGGAAATTGTCTAACATTCACTACCATAAAGAAGAAAAGATGTCACATAACAGAAACTTAAAAATATATATTCATTGTTATTTTCATACTTACTGTTCTGTATCTTTTTTAATAATATCTTATTGCCAGATACACCCTTGGCAGTGAAATTTGCAGTAATGCCCACTGTATAGTACATCTTTGAAGCAATGTGGTTAACAAAAACCTATAAGAAAAGATTGAATTCATAGAGATATCAGTTAAATGCATCTGAATGTATAAACAGGAAACAAAGTAACTTATTATCAGCATTAAAAAAAAAGATGGAGGTGGACAACAGACAATGGAACCGGAAATAATCTTTCATTTTTCAAATTTTTTTTCATATTACTATAGATTACTCTCTCCAGAAGACAAATATTGTTTTTTTTTATTTTTATTTTTATTGAATTTAGTAAAAGTTAATAGGTGGCGGGGTGATGTTTGCTATGCAAATTGATTCCTCTATAAATGTCAACTGCAAGAAGGCAGCATGTATTGTTGTTAGCAAAAGGATGAGCACAAATTGCAAATTGGACAGACCAAAATATTTTGTAAAATTAAAAAAAAATTATATACATAATCTAGATTGGCTAATCTATAGTAATATTTATCACTTCATACGTTATTATAATGGATACTTGTATTTGAAACAGACACCCAATTTTTAATTTTACTTGAAACAATGTGTATTGTGTCTATCAACCTGTTCACTTGAGAAATCTTGATAAAGAAAATGTGCTCTCCAACTGGGATCAAACCTGCATACCCATTTGATTCCTACTGGGGGACACATTTTCTTTATTGGGATTTTATCGTGTGCACAGGCCAATAGACTGACTATACAGTTTAAATCACTATATATAAAAGGCAGGATGTGTGTGTGTGTGTGTGTGTAACGAATGCATGGCCGCAATTTTCGATGGATTTGCACCAAAATTTATATACACGTGCTCCAAGTTAGCGGGAGGGCCAAGACCGACTTTCCCAACTCCCATCGATAGTGGAAATAATCAATTTTTTCATGCTTCTACGGCAGTTTTCATGTAGTTTGCGGCCATTTTCTACTGGCCAGAGTGAGAATAGGGAGGAAGACTCTATTGGCCAGCATGAGAGCCAATAGCTGACTGACATGAATGTTAACTAGCATGCTAGCATGCAAAAAAAAATGGATAGCTGCATTCGTCACAAGTGGGAAAAATTTATATCTGCATGGCACTTTACCCCAATTGGCTCATTCACTTGCTTAAACTCAATGTTGATTCGGATTCCACAGAACTGGGTTGGGTGTGAAAAAGTATTTGTTGTTAACATTCTTTTTTCATTCGGTTTTTCCAGTTATGAGTCCTTTTTTAAAGCTGATCATTTTGTGTTCATTTTGTTTAACTCTTTTTTCGTAACAGATTTAATGTTTAGTATAGAGCTTAGAAAAAATTTGCAGTGTGAGATAGGCAAGAAGTAAGGCATGTAGCAACATCAGCACAGCAAAGGGCACTCCTTTAAAGGCAAGGAAGGGCAAAAATATTTTAAGTCAAGTGATAGCGATTGCTGTATGAGTCGTACGATTTTTGAATCAAGCACCGGCAACGCCGGGCCATGCTGCTAGTTAAAATAAAATGAGGTATCTATTTCCAATACGAGTATCCTTTATAATAATGTTTGAAATAACAAAAAAGTTGGATTAAAAATAAATCCATTAATTCTTTGGAAATTCTTCTATAGTATTTACATTATTCTGACTATTATCCTCATCTTCATTGCCATATTCACAATGTTTAGACCCAAAGAGTTGTGAGTTCAATACCAGGCTACAGCAGTGGTGAACCAAAAAAAATTGTAGAATTGAGTTAAAGGGAAATAACTGAGACATACGGAAGAGGCATAGCATGTGGAACTAGAACAATTTACCCCAGTGGATGAAATAAAGGGTTTCAAAACTCCAATCACCTGAAGAAGGCCGAAGTGTACAATGGCTGAAATGTTGTGAATATGGCAATGAAGATGAAGATAACTGTCTGAATAATGTAAATAATCATAATACCTCATCTCAGAGATATAGACAGATCTTCTATAGTAATATGGAACAAAAAATTTGGAAAAAGATGTTCATGGTGCCAACTGTCCAACTCCACCAAAAATAATATACAAAATAAAATTACTTTGTACAGAAATATTTGACATGTGAGAAAAATCAAAGAAAGTTATAACAGATTCATAACATTAAACATATGAGCTTTGTATAGAAAGCATACAATTATCATTCTTTTATATGTAATGTCCTTTCAAGATGTAGACGATCATGGCACTCCACAATTTCCTATCTTTTGTAGCTTTAAGTAATATTTGTCCCCTTACTAGACCTCCAATTTCATGTTTTGTCATCCATTTATACAAAATTCCTTAATTAGGTTAGTCACTGTTTCCACCTGCCATCCTTGCCATCAATGTCACATGAGTGGCAAATTCTCCAAGCTCTCTTTCCTCACTGTGTGTCTTATTTTATGATTCTATATACAAATGTCCTTTTTTTATCTCATTTTCCTTCAAACATCCTTTTTGCTTTCCTGATCCGTCCATAGCACTCAGCATGATTCTGTAAAAGCTCATCTTCATTGCCTCAAGTCTCCTCTTCATCTGTGGAAATTGTCCAGTACTCAGTATTTCTGCTACATAGCAGTTTAGTACTCTTTTTTTTGTTTCTAAATTTTCCTGTTTCTTAATACTTTGTTTAGCTTTTAGTATACATCTTTTACTATTCCAATTTGCCTTTTATATAAAAATAGCCTAGTTTAGTCTTAGACACTGTCAAAGTAATCTCTTAATAATTTCAAAACAGTTTGTTTTTCCTTATCTAATACTTTTTTTTAAAATCATTTCACTGCAAGCAAGGTGATAAAGTCACTAAGATGTAAGGGGTTACTGAGTGTGAAAGAATCTGAGAAAAAAAACATTATTAAGGAGAGGGGACAATAAAGGAACAGGAATTACAGAGACAGAAGATGACAATTGACATTGAATTTAAATTTTTGAAGATCAAAGTTGACTGGAAAGCAAGAGGCTGGAAGAGAGCTCTATAAGTAAGAAGTCCACAAATCTCCCCAATTTCATTGACAAGTTTAACTTCAGAAATAGTCAGAAATTTTTTTTTTTACAGTAGTGTTCACCCTGTACAAGGCCTAAGAACAACTCAAGGTAGAGGGTTACAGAGCTTATATGGATATGTGGGGAAGATAAGGTTAAACCTAGACTTGAATAGGTTAAGATTGTATTGATTTGGGAGTTGGTTCCACCAGGCAGTTGTTTGTGGGAAGAAGCTGCTCAAGTGGAACAAACATCTCACCAATATCAATATGAAGGGAATGAGGTGGGTTCACTACAATGTGTGTGGCATGGCAGGTTTTAGCTGTGAAGGTTAGGACTGGTGGAACTAAGAAGTGTAGTTCATCTGAACACTCTCCATAAAAATGGTGGTAGTACAGTGAGAGGCTTGTGATATGTTGTCTGTGAGAAAGGGGTTTCAGTATGGAAAAAAATTCTTACCAACAAGGACACAAAGGTACTTTTGGACTCTGTCAAGACTGGAAAATGAAGACTGTGCAGCTCCTGTCCATATATGGCAGCAGTATTCAATTTTTGGTCTGATCTGGCTCTTGTAAAGGTAGAGGTTAAAAGAGACAGCAAAGTACTTGCTGGAGTGACACAGGGAAAGGGGACTGTTTTCCTAGCATCTTTAACAAAGGACCATATACATTAGTTCCACTTGAGCAGTTGAGGAACAGGGCCTCCCTGAGAAAACAACCATTTATCACGATTGGTGAAAGTTCTGGGTCTTATTGGTGATGGTAGAAGGTCACTAGTTTGGTCTTTGAGGCATTGAATGTGAACAGCCAGTTTTTCCCTGACTGCTTGGTTAGAGCTAGATCAGATGAGAAATCAGCTGCTAAGCTCTGGTCATTAAGGGTTTTAGAGATGTACCCATATGCAGTAAGCAAACTTAAATATATCAAGATTTACCCCCAAAACCTCTGCACAAGACATGAAGAATCAGTAGGGGCATTATTATGATGAATGTGATAGTAACACAATACACGAACCCATTTGTCTCTCACTATTGACTGAATAATAATACAAGAGAATGTCTATATATGCAAGCTTAGTAAGGTCCCTTTAGGTTAATCAAAAAGTTACATCAAGGCTGTACAACAAATTCCTAATATATTTTGGATTTATCAGCTGGATATTTTGGGGGCAGAATTTCTATTTTCTTTTCCAGTGAAATTGTTTTTTTCTCTCTGTATTACAGAGATGTAAGGATGAAAAAATATATTTCAAACTCCAGGCCAGATTATCGAAAACAAGATTTGAAAAATTAAAATTAAACTTTTAATCACTGATCCATTCATTTAGCTGTCAGTTTCGCAATTATAATAATCTTTCAATAAACATAAAAGCGATTTTAGTAAAAGACGGAGTGCTCTCCCTTACATTAATCTTCATTCTATAGTTAAATACTGTCGCTGTTAATTACAGTAGAAAATGAGATAATTAAGGTTTATTAACATTAAATTATAAAGAAATAATGTTGTTGGTTCAGATTTTAAATTTATAGATAATCTAAAAAGTACAATTAACATTTATTATTAATGAGAAACAAAGATTTTAATTAAGATTAAGTTTTTAAATCTTCAATTGTCTATATTTGGTTGGCCAAAGCCTCTGGCTAAATAAGAAAATACTTTTTTCTATACTAAGTAAAAATGTAACGTAAATTTCTCAAGAAGACTATTTTAAGAATGTAAAATAATTATATCATAAAATATCGGCAATTTGATGATGAGGTAAAATGAAATCCTGAAAAGAATTTTCGTAAAGTTCAGTGCATTTTTGTGGTGAAATATTTATTGTTATTTTCTTGTAGGAAAAAAATGATACTTGTGAGTCATCTATCGCCATTTTTTAAATTAATTTTGCAACTTTTTCACAAATATAGATGTGTAAAACATTAAAAATATATTATCCCAAAGATTCTTTTAGCAGTCTGAAAAAAAGGGATCTTTTCTGTTAATTCACCCAAAATAATGTAAAATTACTTATCACAAATATTAATTCATCCCAAGAAATAATAAATTTTAAATTAAAGTTTGTTTTTTATTAATTTTTTGGCACTCTTGTAATTATAAATTACAA